CTGAAAAAATACTGATCTATACATTTCAAATCTAAATTTTCACCATAACTCAGCTAGTATATATAATAAAAACGTTACACACTTTATCACAAGTTTTAGTCAAGTGTACGAATAAGTTGCGAGATTAATGTTTAAGTAATTGTCTTGGTTCTTTTATAACATTAATGCACTTAATACTATTCCTACTACTTGTATTTTTAAATGTATCTTCATTCTACTATCTAGAAATATGGTTAAAAGTGACTTGCACTTTGAGCTAAACGAAACTTTTCATTTAAAAGTTCTTGAATTTTTTTTTAGTGAAACAACACTTTATTAAAATTGAACAAATGAATTTATTTATTTTAACAACGACATAAATGTAACAATCGATTTGGCACAAGTTTGTCTAAAATAAAACTAGTGTTGTTTTTAAAGTTATTGACATTTTTACAATCCAATATAAACATAATACAAAAAAAAAGCCTGATTTTGTGCTGAGGAACTGGTTTTACTCACCCACTATACTGACGTACTTAGAACAATGTAGCATGATTCCGGAACAGGCAGATTTATATATATATAAATGCATAACGAAAGAATCAATCAACCTTTGAACCAGATTAAATTGATCTGAACAGGTTAAGTGAACTGGTGGAAAAAAAAAACACCTTATCTAATAAAATTAGTTCCTTATAAAAAATTATACTAATAAAAAAGCTAAAATGATCTCTAACTTTAACTTGCTCGTGGAATATAAAACTGCCAACTATTGGCACTTTCATTTGTACTGAAGTGTCAATATGGAAGGCATTACCAAAATTCACAATACTTTAACCACTTCTTCTAGTTACAATATGACAAAAAAAAAAATGATGAATTTGAAAAATTTTGAAAAAGGGGTATCTTTATACACTATGAAAAACGTAATGAATTATACTAACAAATCTTCATTGTTAACTATATTTTCAAAATTATCTTATTAAATGCAAAGTACAATAATTTACTGTGTTAAAACTCCACTTATAAAAGATCGGTTTTGGATGTTTAAAATGTTATTTTAATGTCTAACCCGGCTACTTTAGAATGTTTAAAATGTTATTTTAATGTCTAACCATGCTACTTTTGAATGTTTAAAATGTTATTTTAATGTCTAACCCGGCTACTTTTGGATGTTTAAAATGTTATTTTAATGTCTAACCCGGCTACTTTTGAATGTTTAAAATGTTATTTTAATGTCTAACCCAACTACTTTAGAATGTTTAAAAGTTTATTTTAATGTCTAACCCGGCTACTTTTGAATGTTTAAAATGTTATTTTAATGTCTAAATCGGCTACTTTAGAATGTTTAAAATGTTATTTTAATGTCTAACCCGGCTACTTTAGAATGTTTAAAATGTTATTTTAATGTCTAACCTGGCTACTTTTGAATGTTTAAAATGTTATTTTAATGTCTAACCTGGCTACTTTTGAATGTTTAAAATGTTATTTTAATGTCTAACCTGGCTACTT